AACAATCTAGTGTGCATATTGGGAGACTGGTTGAATATATATGGTACACAATGGAATATCCTACAGCTGGAAAAAAATAAAAAAGATTTCTGAACAGATATAATGTAATTTCAGGATATATTATTAAGTGAAAAGAAATCAAGATGAAAAAGAAGTTTATAGTAGATTACCTTTGTGCAAGAAGGAAGAAAATACAAGAATATATATTTGCAAAAAGAAACATAGAAAGGATATGACAATAATGAAATTGGTTACTGACAGGGATAGGTGGAAATGGGATGGATGGGATAGGGATGGGAATGACACTTCTCCGGGTATATCTTTTCACACTTTTGAACTTTTGAACCATGTTAATGCTTTATATATTCAAAAACTAAAGTAAAATCAAGAATGGGAGAAACTTTATAAGTGAATAGAAACAGAGACAAATTTAACTATATGTCAAATACATAACATAACCACACAGAGAGAACAAAAGAAAAAGAGTTAATACAAGTGATTTTGATCAAAGTATTTTGATTCTATACCCTGCGTGGGACATATTCTAAGGAAAAAAGAACTACAAAGAGATTTCGAACTTTGTTTGTGGTGGTGTTATTGTTGCAGTAATTCCAATATTGTGTTGGATGTACTGTAGGATTCAGCAAATGAATAAACTTATCAATATTTTTGTAACCTCAGCTTACACTGTGGGATAAGGACAATACAAATCAGGAACAGAGGAAGGAGATAAAAGCCTAATTCTAACTAAAATTAAGAGATATCTGTATAAATTCATCTCATTAAAAAGAAAACAATATTTCTTGGCTCTGTCCACTGAGAGAACTTAGACATAATGACACTCCAGAAGCAATGAACACCCCTGGCATCTCGATCTTGGTTTCTAAATAAAATCCCCTATCAATTGGCACCTTAAAGACGTTGCTAATTGCACGGTGAGATAGGGAAAATAGAAGATTAGCCTGGAATAACTTGTTCCATAAAGCTAAAAAGTGCTTAAAAATTGATGGGGAAACAGGAATCAGCTTGAAGTGGCTCTCACTGGCCAATAACTTGAGCATCAAAATGAGTAATGACAGGACTGTGTTATAATATACTGATTAATAAAAGAATCCATATGTCCATTTTATATGAGAAAGATAAAACCTAAAAAGAGTGGGGCAGAGAAGAGAATTTTATTTTATGGAGGAATGCCAACTAACAATAGTAGGAGGAATGATAGCCATTTTAAAATCACCATCTTACACTCACCATGGTAATAATTCAGCCAAGAATCATCAATGGATGCTAAAAACCATTGGGTATAAGAACAGTCACTCGGTATCACAGTATCTCCCTACAGACAACTTATAAATCACATGGGGGGAGGTACCTTTACAAGGGAGAAAGCTGGCAGACACCACCTTAACCAAATTATCAAATTTAACATCACCAATGAAAATATTTGCTAACGTCACATGTATCGCTGAATGTTACACATCAAGGACACAACATGATCTACATTGTATTTCTACCTGAAGAGTTTAATCTGATTCTAGCAACAAAGAAACAGTTTGGACCAATCCAAACTGCAGTGGGCACAAAAAAAGCCAGCCTCAAATTTTCAAGGACACACACACACACACACACACACAAAAGAAAGAAAGGGAAAAAAAAGGCTAAAGAACTACTCTAGATTAAAAGGGTTTAAAGAGGCAGCACAAGTAAATGCAATGTGCAGTCTTTGGTGAATTTAACAAGCAATGACTGAAAAAAATGAACAAAATAATAAAAAGTCAATTAACTTAATTCACCATATTAGCAGATTAGAGTAAATCATATCATCATCTCAATAAGTGCAGAAAAATTTATTCAGCACCCACTTATGTTTTTTTTTTTAAAACCGCTTAGCAAATTAGGAATAAAATAGAACTTTCTTAGTCTCATAAAGAGCATCTACAGAAAAGCCTGTAGCAAACACCACACTTACTGACGAAACATTAAACACTTTCCTTTTGAACTTGGGAATAAGACAAGAGTGTGTCCAACCGTCACTGCTATGAACAGTTGTAGTGAAGGCACCAGCCAGCACAGTAAGGCAAAAGAAAGAAAAGGCACACAGGCTGAAAAGAGAGCAACAAGACCGTCATCACTGGCAGGATTGTGTATACAGAAAATTCAAAAGAATATACAGATAACTTACTAAAATTTATAAGAGTTTAATTGGGTACAAAATTAAAAATTTATTTCTATATACCAATAACATTTTCAAAATGACAATTTAACATTCCATTTATCATACACCAAAAGTATTAGATACCTAAGAATAAATTTAACAAAACATATGCAAAACCTCAGAGAAAATTATAAAGCATTGAGAGGCATTAAAGGTCTAATTATAAGCTCATGATTTGGAAGACTCAATATTGTAAAGATGTCTGTTTTCCCCTACTTGATTCACAGAATTAAAAGCGATTTCTATCAAAATCCCAACAGGTTTGTTTTTTGGGGGGGTAGAAATTGACAAATAGTAAAATTGTGAAAGTTCAAAGCCAAGTCACTTCTAAAGAAGAAGAAAAGGTCTTCCCTGGTGGCGCAGTGGTTGAGAGTCCACCTGCCGATGCAGGGGACGCAGGTTCGTGCCCCGGTCTGGGAGGATCCCGCGTGCCGCGGAGCGGCTGGGCCCGTGAGCCATGGCCGCTGAGCCTGCGCGTCCGGAGCCTGTGCTCCGCAGCAGGAGAGGCCACAGCGGTGAGAGGCCCGCATACCGCAAAAACAAAAACAAAACAAAAAAAAGAATAAAAAACAGAAAGACTTGTTTCTCACAAATAATAAAGCTTAGTACAAAACTATAGAATTAAGATAATGTGCTACTGGCACAGGGATAGACAATGGGACAAATAAATCAAAACAGAGTTTTAAAACAGATGCATGCACGTATGAGTCCTTTATATATGAACAGAGGAGGCTCTTCAGAATGGTGAGGAAGCAACTGACTTTTCAATAAATGGTGCTGAGACAACCAGGTATCTTCATGAAAAAACACATAAAACTAGGTTCTCCTCTTACAGTAGTCACCAAAATCAATCCCAGATGTCTTTAAAAAGACCCAGTGAGAAAAGCAATTTATAAAGTTTTTAGAAGGAAATATAGGATAATATCTTCATGACCCTGAGGCCAGAGAGAAGTTCTTTAAGAAGACACAAAGAGCACACACCAGAAAAGATTAAAAAAACTTTAGAAATGGACAGTCTACAGACAGACAATGGCCAGACCATAGATGACAATATACCTGTGACCCACACGTCTGCAGTAGACGGGCAAGGAATCAGCCTAGAACAGTCAGGACTTGGCCCATGTCTGCAGCTCCCCAACTTTTGTCCCTGCTTCCAACTCAGGACCAACCAGAGAAAGCCACGTATGTTTCCCAAACGAATCATTTAAGATGCCTGGTTTCTAGTTAGCCACCTGCAGCTAGTTTCCCCCTGGCAACAGCCGCCAGTCAGAGCAGCCCTGAAGCCTTCCCCTTTTCCGTCGTCAAGCTTTCCCACTCCCCTGCCTGCCTCGGAGTCTCTGCCAAACGCAAATGATAGCAGCTTTTACCATAGCAACCTTGGAATACATGCCTCCGTTTGTTCTCATTTGGCTGGTCTCCCTTTACTTCCCCCCCCAGATTAGGAAGTTTGTTCACTTAAAGTCTCCATAAAGAGAATGAAAGACAAGCTTCAGAAGATACGTGTTGGTTATACCAACAAACAGCAAGTGCTCAGCCCATATGAACAACTAAAAAGAAATCAGTGGGAAAAAGGACAACCTGTTGAAAAAAACGGGAAACACACTAGACCGGTCACTGCATGAAAGAATTCAAATGGTCCATAAACGTAAAGATTCCTAAGCCTCAGGAGTCATCAGGAAAATGCAGTCACCCAGTGCAGGAAGCAGAGCAGGCACTACCATTCTCTCTGGCCTCGCATCCCACCCAGCGACTCAGAGAGGGCGACCGACATGTCCCAGGTAGGTAGCCGAAGCAGCGCTTGGACCCCAGCCAGGCCCCGGCCTCTGTCCCCGCCTCCTCCTCTCCCTCTGCGGGCTCCAGGGCAAGAGCTTTCTGACTCTGGGCCCAGGCCTCTCATTTGGAGACAGTTAAAAAATCATCTTTAAGGGACTTGCCTGGTGGCGCAGTGGTTGAGAGTCCGCCTGCCAATGCAGGGGACGCGGGTTCGTGCCCCCGTCCGGGAGGATCCCACATGCCGCGGAGCGGCTGGGCCCGTGAGCCATGGCCGCTGGGCCTGCGCGTCCGGAGCCTGTGCTCCGCAACGGGAGAGGCCGCAACGGGAGAGGCCGCAACGGTGAGAGGCCCGCGTACCGCAAAAAAAAAAAAAAAATATCATCTTTAAGGCCCTCTTCGGTTTAAAAGATCCCGCCTTTCTGAACAAAGGGAGGAAGGTAGAGCCAGGGGCTGGGAGAAGAGGGACAGAGGCACTGTCTTCTAACCATTAGCTCAGAAGAAATCCAAAGCCCTGGCTTGGAGTCCACTCGTTTCGGTCAGAGTCAGTAGTACTAAAGAACCCGGTGCAATCCTGTAGAATTCATCATCCTCAAATCTGCCTTCCTCTGCCCTTTCAGCAAAAACGAACAAAGCCCACGTAATGATCAAAATGTGCTTACCATTAGTGGTCATAGTGGTACTTTTCCATGTTAAGAAGCAAGGTCCAGGGAGGTAGGACTTGCCCAAGGCCACGCAGCACAGAGCAGTAGAATCCGGGTCTTCACGACTCCTACACCTATGGCTTTTTGCTTCCCCACCACGGGGCTGTTGCCCGCCCACGCTTCTCACCTGTCCTAAGACCTGCCCATCCCTCACAGCTGTGGGCACTTAAGCTCAGCACTGCAGCCTGCTTATTCTCACCTGTGCGTTTTGTGCTCACTGAAAATTCCTCTCCCAAGCTCTGTGCCGAAGCAACATGGGACACCGGCAGGGCTGACCCATTGGTTGCCCTCTGAGCAAACGGCAGACTTACCTCGCCCCAGCAGCAGCAGCAGCAGCCCCAGGAGGAAAGTGCGTGGCCGCAGCCCCATGCTGGAACCCTCCAGACGTCCGCGGACCGATGGGCTATCACTCTTCCTTCTGCTTTTATGCTCCTCTGTTGTCTGATAGGACGCCCGTCATAAATTTTACTGTCTTCACCTTTGAAAGGGGCAGTGACCAGCTGTAAATGATAAATATTAACATTTAGGTAGACGACTTCTCAAGGTAGATGGGTCAAAGATGGGTGGCATGTTCTAGACAAAGGCACCAGAAGACCAGGACCACACAGCCCCCTTCGCCTGGCCTCCCAGGATGGTGAGTGCCCAGAAATTGCTTGCGTCGGGGGACTGGAAATTGCTGGCACTGGGCTGGAATCCCAGGTCGGCCACAGCCGTCAGAGCTTGGGGGGCATCCCTTAGGTTAGCCCCAGCTTTCCCGCTGTAAGCTATGGAACTAAAAGCCAGGAAAGGAGAGAAAGTACTCTGTAACAACTGTAAACCAGCCACCTCCGAATGTGAGCTCTCTAGTGGGCAATGTGTCCCCACAGTGTCTCAGGAGTGCCTCTGGGTTCCCTAGCCTCCACGGCACAGAGAGGTTTTCTCCGAGCCCTGCGCCTAGAGCCGGGGTGGCTGGGAGTGTTGGGCTGAAGTGTGTGCCGCACGTTTATTGTCTGCATGTTGAACTGACAGATGTTAGCCAGAGAGGTGAGCCATGGAACTCATCCGATAGAACTAGAAGTTTCCTTTGGGCAAATGAAGTCAGAATGCTGGGCTGGGTCCAAACTGGGCCGATGGCGCTGGAGTTTAAAGCCTGGGTGACAAGCCTTGAGGGGGTAACGTTGAATTTTTTCCCCACAAGTATCAAGGAACAATGGCCTTTAGTTAATAGAACAAATATATTTAAATCATCCTTGCATTTTGGTGGCCCTTATGGCAGCAAGGCTGAGAGCCTGACTTCTGAGATCCAGCTAGGAGTCTGGAGTTGGTTTCTATCACCCAACCTCAGGTCTTGATCTGCTGACACTTTTCTCAAATGTTTAAAATCACAGTTGGGTTCTCTTAAGTGTAAAGTGAAGACTAAGTGGGCGGCCCCTTGTTTCTGGCTTCCAGATATTAAGATGTCGTTTTCCTTTTCCACCTGCTCAGAAAAATGTGACTTGTGGGTGACCACTGGTCTAGCTGTGTCTAAGGCTCCGCCTCAGGGCTGCACGGAGGTCTCAGGTCACACCGAGAGTGTGGACGCCCTGATACAACTTGACCAGCTGACCATCGGCTGGTCCTGGAGCCTGGCAGAGGGTGGCACACGAGGAAGAGGAGGAAGAAGAAGTAAACCCAAGGCGTGTTTGCAGGGGCCATTTGGACTAGATGCTTCTGAGCATCTGACACTTGTTATCTTCACCAGACTTCCCACAAAGCTCAATGAGAGACCCAAAGCTGCTGTCCTGCTACAAGGATGTCAGGAGTCCACTCAGCTCCAGGCCACCAACAGCTTCGAGGAGCATCCCTGAACCTACTTGGACTGAATGGGTGTTCATAGGTCCCCACTCATGGTTAAGCCAGTTGGAGGTGGGGTGGGAAGCGTGATGGGAAATGGGCAGAAATAGCCTAGCTCTGCAGTCTGTGTATTCCTTTCCGTCTCTTACTGCTTCTCTCCATGACCATTATGGCCCAGCTGGACTGGCACACATACCAACTTCTCACCTCTTTTCCATTTAGAAAAATTGAGAAATGACTTAAACACATATTTAACCTGTGTGAAGCATTTTTATATAGTACAGACTGAATTCTCTCTTAGATAAAAAAATCTTTGAGTCCTGTCAGTGCATCAAGGAATTCTCATCAACTGTGAGGCAGTGGGGGAATAACATTTTTTGGGGCATTCTTGTCATCCTCTGTGGTGTGCTCGTTAGGTGTTAGCTTAATTAGCACTGATGACCTATGTGATCTATTAGCAGCTGTGAAAACAATGGACAAAGGACTTGTCAAAAGCCAGAGGCAAACTCCAAAAGCTTATAAGCTTCTCTGATTTTTGCTACTAAAATGTCCTACGAGGACATGTCCTAGAGAAGGTAAGATGCTTCACTTCAGACTTTAGCAACAATCAGCAGGTGTTCCTTTCGCGAAAGGCACAGGCCCATGAATTCAAATCTTTTAGGGATGGCAGTCCATGCCTTGGTCAGAAGGCATCTTAGTGACTAAAAAAGCTGAGAGTGTGCTGTTGTCCAAGAAACCACAAGGTGCCTGTGATTCTTTTTAATGGTTGTGAGCCGTAGTAAATAAAATTGTTCTCTTCTTTCAACAAAGGAAAACCTCATCCCTGGCTCCTGGGTGAGCTCTGCCAATGTGGTAGAATGTGTGCCTGTCATTTAGGACAAGTACCCACTGGTGCCTATCTTACAAAAGACCCATGGCTAGAAGAGGAAGGGTACACACCAGAACTGTGGCAGGGGTGGAACCAGGGGTGTCAACTTCAGAATAATCTGCACGGATGCCACTCATGCCCTGAGAATTGTCTGCCCCAGTTTCAGCTTTTCTGAAGCACCTACTGGCCCTCACCATGACGGCCTCGTGTCACTCATTCCTGCACGGAACTAAGTCGCAGGATCCTGGTAGGCCTCCTGAGGGACAAGTTGGGCCTTTCTCTTCCTGTCGTCTTGGCACCCCTGGCACCCCTCCCCACAGAGCACCTAGCTCGGTGTCCTGCACATACGAGGCCCTCAACAAATCTTCATTCATTGGTTAACTCTTCTCCAAAGGCAGAGACAACTGGTTTAACCAAGCCTGTGTTCTCCAAGCCCTTCCCAGCCACAGAAGGGAAAAGAGGCTTGGATTGGATTAGGCATCTCCAAACCTGAATGTTACCTAGATGCCAGTGTTCCTGTGGATACAAAACACAAGCCTGGATGTACACACACACACACACACACACACACACACGGGCAAAACACTGTCCAGTGCAAGTAACTGAGCAGATTTAGCTTCCCTGGGGCAGCGGATTTTCTTATAATCAATATACTAATGATAAGAAGAGTTTAATTAAGGAATGAACAAGTAAGAGACAAAATGAAGAAGGGACCAGCAATGCATGTCTAGAAAAAATACAATTTTCAAATATCACAGCATTAGTAATAAAAAAAAAAAAGGACGGGGCAAATCCCAGTAGAACACACACTCCATGAGACCTGTCCTCCTCGTTCTTTGCTATGTCCCCCACGGCTGGCACATTGCCTGTCATAGCAGGCATTCATTCAATGTTGGATGAATAAATAAATGAATGAAAGTCAGAATAAAAAGGAAAGAGACCAAGCCTACTATAAAAAGATCAGCTCAACAGGACAGAACAGAAAAGATGAAAGGGATACACATCACGTTTTAGGACAGAACACTGAGGAGAAAGAGACAGGCACAATGCTCTAATACCATGAAGCACGATGGGAAAAAATAATGGACAAGCAACATTGAAGCTCACAGCCCATGGTCTTCCCCAAGGTCACACGATTATTCTCCCAGCTCCTTGGTTCTCAAGCCTGGCTTGCACATTGGAATCACCTGGAGAGCTTTCAAGAAAAATACCTGTGCCTGGGCTTTACCCTCGGACCTTCTGAATTAATTGGCCTAGGCTGGGAGTTGGGCATCAAGTTTAATGATGGATTCCAGTTGAGCCAGGCCTGCCCAGCACTGAGGGATGAAGAGGGCTTCATCTCTGCTGTTCTGGACGAGCCAAAGGTCCCTGGGACGTGGCTTGTTGCCAGAACAGGCCACGGATGCTGACAAAGTCAGACTGACCTGGCAGCCTCTCCAGAGAGGAAACCCACAGGAACCCTGGGTAAAATGCTGGAGCTTCCCTCCGAGGTCAGGGAGTAGATGGGGAAAGGGCCAGATTCTGGCGCCTGGAGAGGCCCAGTCATTGAGCACCAGGATGTGTGGGCTACAGTTCCAGAACAGCCATGGGGCCCGTTACCACCTGCAGGCTTTTCCTCTTCCTTGCATCTTGGTTTCCCGGCCTGTGAGACTGATGGCATGAATTCCATGTTCTCACGTGCAGTGTGAAGAACTGGACAACAGCCGTTGGGGAAGGGGTGAGACGAGCTGCCTACTTCAAGCATATAGGGTACCTCTCTCCCGCACAAACCTTTGTGCAGAGAAGGGCACCGTCACCAACTGGCCACCATTTACAGATGGGGAGCATGTGGCCCCGACGGCATAAGCCCTGACACATCCTCCAAATCACACGCTGTTCTGCTTGTTGGTCCCTCTCTCCCCTCTCTCATCCACCATCTCCAGACTCTGAGCCCCCCAGACCCCCCAGTGCTTCCCAACCTTTATGCCTCCCAGCACACGGAAGATGGTGGTATTTGCACAACACAGAGTCTGAGCAGATGGGGTGATCTGCAGCCTGAGGTGATCAGCCAGACAGCCCCCAAGCCCCTTCCCACCCTCCCCCGCCCCAAGCAGGGCTTGGGGGTGTCATCAATGCGTTTCCCCATCTGTACACCTTAGTGCACCCACACCCAGGTGAAGACTGGAACAGCGTTTGCTGAGCACCTACTAGGTGCCAGGCATGTTCTAATCAAACTCATAAATGAATTATCTCATTTAATATCAGCTACATTCATGAGGCTTAAAAGCCTTGACTAAGGTCACCCAACCAGTAAGTCGTAAAGAGGAGGTTCTGACCCACGTCTTCTACCTCCACAGCTGTGAGTTTCTCCCAGGCATGACTGAGAGATGAGCCTGATGAAATGGTCTTAAACACCCTTCCGGAGGGAAACCCGGGAAGGAGTCTGATTGTGCGTTGGTGGAGGGCAGCCTCTGGCTCATGCACCCAGCTGGGCAGGAGAGTCTGGCAGTATGACCATTCCCTCCTGGGCGCTGAGTCTGAGCGGGCCACCCAGCCTGACCGCCTCACGGCCTGGGCTCCGGGTACCCACTAACCTGTGGAGGCCATCTCAGGAGGACCAGAGAACCAAACAGGGATGCTCTGCTCCATCCCAGTTGGTGGACGCCTGGCTGTGACCTCCTTTCCCCTCCTCGGGAGGATCCCACCCAGAGGCAGGAAAGCAGCAGGGATTAGGTCAGAACTGGTCAGAGAGCACCTGAACCTTAGCGGCCATCTAGTCAGTCCCCTCCACCCCCATTGTACAGAGGGGGAGACCGAGGCAGAGAAAGCCAGAGGGCCAGTCTGTGACTAAGGGTCTTGGATTCCCTGATTCAAGTCCAGGGCTCTTTCCCCATTCATCATGTAGGGCTGAATCACCCCGACCACTTGCAGCAATGGAATTTTTAGGCCAGTTTTACTGATAAGAAATGAAAACCCAGAGAGGATTAGTAACTTGCCCAATTGCTCAGCTACTCAGGGTAGAACCCAGAGTGCTTGCCCTCTCTACCACAGCCCAGGAGTGGTCAGGTTCAAGTCAGAGACACTCGACACAGACCCTGCACTAGCAGATACCAACATAAAAACCAGGGCCCGCACCTCCATTCTGGGAAGAGGGTTCCCATGGAGACAGGTCGGCCAGCATGGCCAGTAGGCACTGGAACACAGGAGAAGCTCTTCCCTGGATCTTCCAGAGCTGAGATCCCCGGGGCAGGGCCGGGGGAGTGCCCTGGGGAGAGAAGTAGTGTGAGTCCTCTGCCCACTGAGGGGGGTGCTCCTGAGGGAACCGTACCATGTGGCTAAGATTTCCCTTATTCCGTTTCTTTCGCATCCTTTGAGAGTTATGATCTGTTCCTCAAATCCAAAGGGAATAACCACAGTCTCCTGGCCTTTCCTGGGAACCTCGTGTGCTTAGGACCATGCCGGGAGGATCCTGGTTCCTGCAGCCCCTCGTGGCCTGACCCCACATGCTTCCCTGGCCTGTGTTCAGAGTGGACCACCTGCTAGGAGGGCTTCTCCCGGACCACGGATCCAGAGACGGAAGAGCGCCTCTCTACCACCAAATCGGGGCAGCTTACCGGCTGTCGACGTCTCTCCATCCGCACTGCTGATCCAGGCTGGGGCCTCTGGGCCTTGGGCTGTGGGGCAGGAGACGGCTGTAGCCTGGCGTCGCCAGCTTGCTGCGGAGCTGGGCCGTCAGCCACCCCCACACACGCTGCACGCGGTGTTGATAGCCTTAGTAATGATGACGATGCACAAGTGTGCCTGCTTGGCCGGCTCCCTGTTTACCTGTGATGGGCATCACCTGGGGAGAGGGCCGTGCAAGGGGGCTGGGAGTGGGAGGGGGCCGGCCTTCCGTCCCAGGGCGCCGATGCAGATGGGCCTGCTGGGCCAGGCGGGGCTGGGCAGGCAGATCTGCGCTGGGCTCCAGTCATCAGCGCAGCCAGGTCTAGATTAGGCACAGCCCCGCGGAGCTTTGTCACCTCAGGCTCTGTTTCCCAGGGAGCGCCTGTGTGCCTCTCTTCGGGGCACTGCTGGCTGAGGCAGGCCAGCCTGTACTCCTTTCTTCTCTCCCTGATTCTGGAAGGACCTTCTTTATAACTGCAGGGTGATAACCTGTTAGAACCCAGAAGAGAAAACCTGAGGAAAAGGAATTTTCAAATTCCCAATTTTCTCCATTCTAATCCACGTACATTTTCATACTGTAACATCTCTGAAGACAGTCTCTAAGAAACCACAGAAATGTTTAGAAGCTTGCCCAAGATCACACGGAGAGCAGGTGGTGAGACCAGATTTTTAATACTGTTTTTTCTGCCCCAAAGGCCAGTCCTCAGCCCAAGACACAATACTTCCTTACTTTTGTTCATTTCCGTTTGTTCCTTGATTGACCCTCGTAGGCCTCTTAGGGGCCAAACACATGTGACCAGGAACACCCAGGGCTGTAGGCCTTAATCCCAGGCTCTCCAGAGAGCGGCCGGAAGCTCAGGGTGGTCTCCATGGAAACCCCGGACGCCTCCTCCCACGCCCCACTCCCTTTCATCTTTGCTCTGGGAGCCACCTGGAGCCAAGTTTCCAATTGTTCCTCTCTGCAGACATTGAGATCCAGGTTTTCTTAAGCAGAGCGAGGCTCCAGGCTCTTGACCTGTAGCATCTCTCGCCTGGATTCCTGGACCAGCCCCTGCAGGCTGGCCACCACAACCCCTCGCCCATCCCCGAGGGAGTGACCTTTTAAAACCCTTTCCCCTCGCTCATCTCCCCTGCCCTCCACCGTGGCTTCTGCTCCTGTCACTCTAGCAGACGTACTCTAAGATCAACAATTTGTTCAATCCAGTGGACGGTGAGGCCCTCAGACCTGACATCTCCTACCTGACATCTCAGCAGCATTTAACGGCTGACTGCTACCCTTCTTCTCAGAAAGTGCTGTCCTGGGCCTGCATGTCTGTAGTTTCCTGCTTTCTTCTCTCCAGTTCTTCCTTTTCAGCCTCCTTTGCCAGCTCCCCCTCTGCTTCTGGAGCTCCTCAACACTCTGGCCTGGACCTTCCTCTTTCTCTCTCTGTCTCCCAAGGTGATCTCACCCCCGAACCACACACACACACACACCCACGGCTTCATTTAAAATTGTGCATCACTGACTCCTACCTTTCCATTTCCAGTCAGCCCTCTCTTTCAACCTTCAAACCCCATAAACTTATTGATTCATTGACTCAGCATCTCTACTTTGATGCTTCATAGGACTTCAAACTCAAGGGGTTAAGAACGGGCCGTATGCTCTTCCTGCACTCATTTGCACTCTACAGGAAGTGGCAGCAGTGGTTGTAGACAGACCCAAGAATGATTCTTGAAAGCTTCATCTCCTCAGCCCCAACAGATCATTCATTGCTGAGTCCCATCAATTCTAGACCCTCAATTACCTCATGAGCTCACTCATCGTTCTCTGTCTCCACCGCCCCACCCCGGGCCCATGTCACCATCTCTGCTCCCCTGAATGGCTGTAATATCTGCTCCATGTCCCCTCTTGCTTGTTCCAATCTTGTTTGGTTTTTTTTTTTTCACACAACAGCCTGAAGGATCTTTTCAAAGTGCAAATCTGATGTCACACCCTCGTATAAAAGCCTTTGACAGCTTCCCACTGCCCTTTGGACGAAGTCTAACCATCTTGTCGTGCTTTCTAAGGCCCTGCATGTCCCCCTCCTCCCTCTAGCCTTAAGCCCTCCTCTACCCTTTTGCTCGGACCCCAGGCTTGCTGGGCTCCTTTCACTTCCTTGAACGTGTCATCCTTTTTGCCACCTCAGAGACTTAACACATGCTGTTCCCTCTGCCTGGAATTCTCAGGCCACACCAATCCCCTTCCCACCCCTTGGCCTCACTAGCTCTCCTTCCAGGCTCAGCATAAATATTTCTTCCTAAAATGCTTTCTCTGGCCCAGCGAGTGTCAGGCCCTGTCTCATGGTTCCCTGGCCTTGCTTCTCCTCCAATATTCAACACACTTGGAATTGCTCGTTCAAGGTCTATCCTGTCTTTCTGATTGCAAACTCCAGTAGGGCAAGGGCCAAATGGTTCTCTGCTGTGTCCTTAGTACTTAGCACAGGGCCTGATGTCAGCAGATGCTCAACAACTGCCACATTGATGAAAATACCCAGCCTGGCTCCAGTCATCCTCCAGAGGCCCTGGTGAACAGAAGCCAGTGCTACGTCATGGCAGATTAAATGCTCCTGCCCTCTCTGTAGCTGTGTTACATCACTTACTTAACTTTGTCAGCCATCCAAACATGGGCCTATTGGAACCGCCTGCACAGTCTCTGCAAAGTCCCATTGCAGCTCTGCACACAGGAGGAAACTGTGTCCCAAGAATTGCACTCTTGGGACCAAGAACAATACATCACCACACAAAGGAAGGGAGCCCTGCTTGGTCTCTGTCTGGCCCAGGTGTCCTCCTATGCTTGAGAAATCTCTCAAAATAATCCTCCTAAAAAAAACCCAGGAAAATCTGAAAATTTCCCAGTCTTATAACTGACGGATAGTGAGCCAATCAAGGACTGGCAAATAGATTTGAAGGTCTATCAGAGTCTCCCCTGTTTCCAAAATCCCCCCGAAGAAAATGCTTGCCAATCAGAGACTGCCAGCATTTCCTCCTTCTTCCCCTATGAAACTTATTCTCCTTTCAGACACCTTTGAACCCCTGTGGAAACGAAAGTGACTGCAGACGGTTCCCTGTGGCTGCAAGTTTATAAACAAACAGCCTTGACTAATTTTCTCTTGGGTTTTGTTTGACTTTTCTGACTGCAATCTCGGTGCCATGACTCAGCTCCAGCCTGACCTGCCTGTCACTGTGGACCGTGACTCGTGTCCAGGTGTGGTGTCCTCGAGCCTCACTGCCCGTGGACCATCGTCCATATCAACAAGTCCGTTTACGCGGGACCTCAACTCCGCTCTCCTTTAGGTTCCTTGGCTGTTTTACTCACTCGTCGAATACTGGGTGTTTATATTTGGCTAGGGTTCCCCTTTAGAGCTGCGTCCTTAGTGATTTGCTTCCACCCGTCCCTTTGCTCTGTCCTGTGTGCTTGAGTGTTATTTTGTCGAGAGGAGGAGGACCACAGAGTGGAACACAGGCCTCATTCCTGTAAGCTGGCTGTTTGAACCAGCCTCACAGAACAGGGAGGTGGCAGTTCTCTGCAGATCAGCACCCTCTGAGAGCAAACTTTGCTGTAAGTCACCAATAAAGCCAGAAAAGATGTCCTCCCATCCTGGCTGTTTGTCCTGAGACCTTGATTTTGGTTCGAAGAGAGCATTCTCTCTCTCTGATATATTCTACCTGCCAGGGACTCTGGTCGTTGGGTCTGTGTTCAGAGGCAGCTGACCATTAGGTCAGGGGCCCGAGACAGAAGATTGTAAGAGCAACTTCAGTTGCCTGTAACTTTCAGCTGACAGCAGCCAGGAGTCTTCTCAATCCAACCTGTGTCCCCTCTAGCAGAACTTCACCAAGGATGACCTGGGCCTTCAATGGACACTTTGGGGAACACTTAAGTTTTTTCTTTAATTGAAGTATAGTCACTGCACAATATTATATAAGTTACAGGTATACAATATAGTGATTCACAGTTTTTAAAGATGATATTCCATTTATAGTTATTATAAGATATTGGCTATCTTCCCCATGTTGTACACTTCATCCTTATAGCTTATTTTATACCTAATAGTTTTGTACTTCTTATCCCCCTACCCCTATATTGACCCTCCCTCCCTCCCTCTCCCCACTGGTAACCACTAGTTTGTTCTCTATATCTGTGAGTCTGCTTCTTTTTTGTTATATTCACTAGTTTATTGTATTTTTTAGATTCCACATATAAGTGACATCGTACAGTACTTGTCTTTCTCTGTCTGACTTATTTCATTTAGCATAATGCCCTCCAAGTCCATTCATGTTGCTACAAGTGGCAAAATTTCATTCTTTTTTTTTTTTTTTTTTTGCAGTACGCAGTCCTCTCAGTGTTGTGGCCTCTTCCATTGCGAAGCACAGGCTCCAGACATGCAGGCTCAGCGGCCATGGCTCACGGGCCTAGCTGCTCCGTGACATGTGGGATCTTCCCAGACCGGGGCACGCACCCGTGTCCCCTGCATCGGCAGGCGGACTCTCAACCACTGAGCCACCAGGGAAGCCCAAAATTGCATTCTTTTTAATGGTTTAGTAGTATTCCATTACGTACATACCACATCTTTATTCATTCATCTGTTGGTGAACACTTAAGTCACTTCCATACCTTGGCAATTGTAAATAATGCTGCTATGAAAATTGGAGTGCATGTATCTTTTTTAAAAAATAAATTTATTTTTGGCTGTGTTGGGTCTTCGTTGCTGCACATGGGCTTTCTCTGGTTGTGGCGAGCGGGGGCTACTCTTTGTTGTGGTGAGCAGGCTTCTCATTGCGGTGGCTTCTCTTGTTGCGGACCATGGGCTCTAGGCACGTGGACTTCAGTAGTTGCACGTGGGCTCTGCAGTTGTGGCTCGCGGCTCTAGAGCGCAGGCTCAGTAGTTGTGGTGCACGGGCTTAGTTGCTCCGCGGCATGTGGGATCTTCCTGGACCAAGGCTCGAACCTGTGTCCCCTGCATTGGCAGGCAGATTCTTAACCACTGCGCCACCAGGGAAGCCCCTGGAGTGCATGTATCTTTTTGAATTAGGGTTTTTTTTTTTTTTTTTCAGATATATATCCAGGAGTGAAATTGCTGGGTCATATGGTAATTCTATTTTTAGTTTTTTGGGAAACCTTCATAGTGTTTTCCACAGTGACTGCACCAATTTACATTTCTACCAACAATGTACGAGGGGGAAACACTTGATTTAAATAGAACTGCTCATTTGAGAGGTACCTTAGAACAAGACCAGAATAAAATTCCTCAGGCCCAATGAGCAGTGTTTATTGATTGGTACCCTGACGCTTCTAAGCAGAATTCCAGTTCTTCAAATTTTTTTGGTCAAGGGTCCACAAGGAACTTGATGACTCAAAATGTAAAACCATCTGGGATAAAACCGCCTCTCTCACGAACCCCCCCCCCCCCACGTCTAACACCCGCCTGCTCTTCATCATACACTCTCTACCACTCACACAGCTCTGACCCCAA